CCCGTCAGTTTAACGACTTGTTCATGTCTACATTCATCGATTGAGCTTGCACTGTAATTTACCACATTGATTTTCCTTCTAACTCTTGCCATTTCTAACTCCCCATACTCTCTACAGTTTCACGACCTGGTGCTGCTGCGTCGTGCAATAGTTTTTATTCTAACTCTTCTCATTTTTCTCTACCCCACAGTTTAATGACCTTGTGCTGCTGTGTAGTGAGCTGCTCATCTCGACGCGGGGTTCGCGCTATAAGGTGCGAGCGCGGATGGACATGGATGGACTCGAGGTCGCCGACGGAGACAACCTTGAGATGACGAACACGTTCTACATCCGCACGCGCGTCAAGTCCATCGAGCTGTACACGCAGTGAGTAAACATATAAACATGTAAACAAGGTAAACGTAAACATGTAAATAAGTCAGCATACCCCATCGAGCTGTACACGCAGTGAGTAAACATATAAACATGTAAACAAGGTAAAGAATGTAAACAAAGTAAACATGTAGGCCTAAACACATATAAACAAAGTAAATAATGTAAACATTTCAATAGGGAATTAACTATATAAACATTTAAACATGCCATCATGCACCAACGAGCTGTACATAACATGTTAATAATAATAGTTCACATGTAACGCAGATGTAATTAAGCCAACTGCCATACAACACAGAGTATAAACAAGCGTGCACATATGTGCATAGTAGAGAGTGCATGGGCATATGTAAAATATGCCCTATGGCCTATCTACATAATGTAAATAAACAGGTTAGTGAGCTACCATGCATGCAGTAATTGAAGTGATATTGTCTATATTTACATAAACATTAGAAGACTGATCTTGATGCGGATAGAGGTGATTTTAATCAGAGCAACAGATTTTGACTGCTATGCCAACCTAGCCATCTTGGAGAACGACAAGATAGGATGTTAACTTTAGTAGGCTTGTTTGGCACTAGGTGGCGGTAGCTTACGCTGAGAGGGTCTATGTCCCCCGGGGTATTGCCGGAACGTACCCTGGGGGACATAGACCCTATGAGCGTAGCTTACAATAGTATGGATATCACTACAGTAATGAATTAATCTATTAAACAGACTTTTTTTAACGCATAAACACTGCAAGTCGGTGAATAAGTATACGTGTATGCGTCTGTAATGTAGCGTGGCTGTCCCTGCTTTAGGAATGCGCAGGAGAAGGAGGAATGGATGCAGGGCTTCTACTCAGTTATCCAGGAAGATCACAACAAGAGATTGTCGATGGGCATCAATGAGGAGCTGCTCAGGGTGAGTAGAGCTCATAGGGTCTATATCCCCCAGGGTACTATCGGAGAGTACCCTGGGTACGGTTCGATATATCGGAACATACCCTGGTAACTATCTGATATGCCGGACCGTACCTCGCCTACTCCACTATTAAACGAGCCTAGGGAGTCGCCTACGCCTACGCCTACGCCTACTCCCTACCCCTAACCATATCAGATAGTACCAGGGTACCCTCCGATAGTACCCTGGGGGACATAGACCCTATGAGCGTGAGTAGATGTGTGTGTGTGGATGTTACAGAGCTAGACTGAAGGAGATGGAATGGGAGGGAGAAACGAAGAGAAGGGGAGGAGAAAGAAAAGAAGAGGGAGGGAGACATACCGAAAGAGAAATGGAGAGGGATCGAAAGCGAGAGAGAGAGGGGGGAGGGAGATGTGGAGAGTGAGAGCGAGAGAGAAAAAGAGAGAGAGAGAGAGAGAGAGAGAGAGAGACAGAAAGAGAGAGAGAAAGAGAGAAAAAAGAGAGAGAGAGACATCATTACATCTTTCTATTTTTGCCTCATTCCATCAAGGAATCTTTCCATGAAGAGCTTTATAGTAACTATTCAATAGCAGCAATCAAATATATTAACGACAAACGAGCATTAACTAATATTATATAGTAAGTAAGGCTGCCAGGGTCTATGTCTCCCTGGGTACTGCCGGAACGTACCCTGGTACTATCTAATATGCCGGACCGCACCTCGCCTACTCCACTAACGAGTCTAGGGAGTTGCCTACGCCTACTCCCTAACCCTAACCCTAACCCTAACCATATCAGATAGTTACCAGGGTACCCTCCGATAGTACCCAGGGAGACACAGACCCTATCAGCGTAAGTAAGTGATATCAGGGAAGCATGTGATCGTGTATAACTCCTCATTCTTCCTCCTCTCTCCCGGCAGATAGAGGACGATGAGCTGGGACGGAGGGCTCCCATCCCCATCAAGGACGACAGCGTGTCGTCGTGCATGAGCTGCAAGGCCAGCTTCAACCCGATCCGCCGCCGCAAGAAGTGCAAGGCCTGCGGGGCCGTAAGTACACAGACAGAGCAATCCAGCCAGCCAGCCAGCCAGCCAGCCAGGCAGGCAGGCAGGCAGGCAGGCAGCCAGGTAGTTAGTCAGTCTGCCACCCATCCAGCCTGCCAGCCTTCCAAATAGGCAACCAGCCAGTCACCCATCATGGCAGGCAACCAGTCATAATATAGTCAGCCTGCCAGCCAACCAGTCATATAGTCAGTCAGCCTGCCAGCCTTTCAGCCAGCCACCTAGCCAGCCTGCCAGCCTGCCATATAGGCAATGCACCCAGCCAGCTAGCCAGTCAGTTAGACAGCCTCTCTGCCTTCGCGTGCTCTCTCTCTCACTCTCTCTCTCTCTCTCTCTCCCTCTCTCTCTCTCTCTCTCTCTCTCTCTCTCTCTCTCACGCTCTCTCCCCCTTCTCTCTATTTCTCTCGCTATCTCTCTACCCCCTCGCACGTGCATGCCCTCTCTCTCCTCTCTCTCTCTCACACGAGTGTCTCTCTCTGTCCTATGCAGGTGATGTGCAGTAAGTGCGTGCCGCACAAGCTGCCGCTGCCGTACGACAACTACCGGCCGAACAAGGTGTGCCACAAGTGCTACCAGACGATCCAGACCGTCAACGAGGAGAAGGAAGCCGTGCTGCGGGAGAGACGGGAGAAGCCGCGAGACCCGCCGCCGCAACGGAAGGACCTCATACACGTACGTGTCGGGGAGGGAGGGGGTGGGGGAGGGTTGATGTAAGGAGAGGGGGGTAGCGAGGGAGGGGTGATGTGGGGGAAGGAGTGATGTGGTGGAGAGGTGTGATGCAGGGGAGAGGTGATGTGGAGTAAGGTTGATGTAAGGGGAGGGGGTTGGCGAAGGAAGGGCGATGTGGGGGAAGGAGTGATGTAGGGGAGGGATGATGTGGGGTAGGAGCAGTGTGGGGGAGTGGGGATGTAGGGGAGGGGTCGGAGGGGGAGGGGGTAGGTGGGGGAGGGATGATGTGGGGTAGGAGCGGTGATAAAGGGAAATGGTAATGTGGTTTGTAGGGAGGAGGGGGTTGGTGGGAGAGGGGTGATGTGGGGTTGGGTGTCGCAGCGTTATCCCGTTTATAGTACGGAGCTGTAAGGTCGCACTTACGTCACACGGAAGCTTCACCCGTCGTCATTGGTTACCGACAGGTGAGCGCGCGTGACGACGACGCCCTGGTGGCAGATTTCATGAACCTTCGGACGCGGGCGCGCGGCAAGCAGTGGACGCGGCGCTGGTTCTCACTTCACAACGATCTTGCTCTATACTCGTTCAAATCTCAGGATGTGAGTACATGTAAATGACGCACCGTGTGCGTGCGTGCGTGCGTGCGTGCGTGCGTGCGTGCGTGCGTGCGTGTGTGCGTGCGTGCGTGTGTATGTGCGGTGTGCACATGTTTGTAAGGTTTTCTCGCCATCTTCTGCCAGGCATCTCAAAAATGCTTTGCATTCCACACAAACCAGAATTATTTGTGGCCGAGATAAATGTGGAGAGTAGTTGCTCTGTATGACCAGTATAAACGTCTGTCGCTCCAGTAAATATTTAAGATTTTTCTCGAGTTGAAGTATATATATATATAATCAAGAGATATAATGTATATGTATATGTGTATCTATATGTATGTGTGTGTGTTTGTTTATGTATATATGTGACTTACGGTAATTAACTTTTATAATGTTCCACAGGCTAAGAGTGCTTTGACATCGATGCCTCTGCACGGCTACCAGGTGGCGCTACCCGACAAGAATGATGCGGTCGAAAAGGAGAACGTCTTTAAGTTGTTCCTAAAGAAGAAGGTTTACTATTTCCAGGCCGAGTCCAAGGATAGGATGAATGTGTAAGTAATGATTTAGCAGCACGTACCTGCACGGTAACGAGAAGTGATCAGAGTTCCCATCTAGCAACGATGTGTGTTAAAATTCCTTGCCTATGTAAAGGCTGCCAGGAGCTGCAGCAGTATTAGCAGTATGCACCGGTGCACTAACAATGAATGGTCCGTGCTGCCATCTATAGCGACTATATTTTTAAAATTATTTTGCCTACATCAAGACTCATAGGAGCTGCAGCCGGTCATGTTGGCAAAGAATTGTTAAAAGGAACGTCATCTCCAGATTATCAGCATTGTCTGGTTCAACTTACGTCTTCTTGAATTTCTCATAATGTTAATGAAAAACTGTCTTGCTGCCCATTGTATTTTATTCATGAACCACTGTTGATTTACTACTATGATATTACTAGTAATAACGAAACTTTGACATACCTTCTAGGTGGATTTCCATTCTCCAGAAAGTTTGCAGTGCTGAGCAGTGAACAAGACTGTCTATGATCAGCTCCCTCTAGTGAAGTGTGCCAGGAGTGCCAATGGACAGCGCCCTCTGCTGAGCTGTGGTCAGCACTGTCTATGGACAGCGCCCTCTGCTGAGCTGTGGTCAGCACTGTCTATGGACAGCGCCCTCTGCTGAGCTGCGAACAGGGATGTGTAGACAGCGCCCTCTGCCGAGCAGCGAACATGAGTGTCAGTGGATATTGTCCGCGTGGCGTGCGGTAAACAAGATCGATTGTCTGGTCAGTGTCCTCTACCCTCTGACAAGTAAGCTGGCAGCTGTGTGTGGCCTACAACAGCAAATCTTTAGCTACAGCAATCGCTCACAAATCCTGATGAGTAAGGTTCTACTGTTTAGCACTATGAATGCAGATATCTCATCTATGCTCCGAGATATACCATATGCTACAGTTAAAACTTGATTTACCAAAGAAAATTCGTGCACACAATGCACGCCAGCATACCAATGATAGCCTAGCAATAGCTGGCCTTTTAACAATTTTTTTCCCGAATTGCTGTTGATTGCAAGCATATCTATATACGTGCCTGTGTGCACTCTCATTGTATAAATTAAATATTAATTAAAATTAAAACCAAATCTTGATCTATCACTAGGCACTTTAGCGCTGTGGTACACATTTCCCACCGATAAACGTAGAACTAGAACAAATGTCGTAAAAATGACGTTTTGTGTAACGTTACCTGTACAGTAGATCAGCATTTTAGATAAAGCAATATCACACACGTGTGATAACTGACAAGTATTATTGGTCTTGCTTATATCTAGCGTAGCATAGAAACAGTATGACAACGAGTATTGTTAAACTGTTAACAGCAAATGTCAAATCTTACATAAAGAGCAAATTTCGACAGAGTTACCAGAGGCACGCACTTATATATCTTCTCTTGTTTGCCGTGCCTTTAAAAAGGGCTGACGATTTTCATGCGAGTATTTTTTAGAAGGTTCGCGACAAAATTTCTCGTAGTGTGCATTGACGTGTATATAGGAATGAATAATTAAGCTTCTAACTAATATTTAATGTCATTTGCTATGTATGTGTGGGTGACCATTAACTATAAGGACAACTGTGTTTTGTCATATTGTTTTTTTTATGTGCGGCGAGCCACAAGCGGAAATGCCGCATTTTGCTTGTTGTAATATTCGTGTGTACTTTGATTGACTCCTACATATATTATATTATGCAATGATTATACTGCTCTAAAGACGAGCATGTGAGTTTGCAATATGAACAGAACCGCTTCGGCCTCCTCGCCACAAAGATTGTTGGTCTGCGTGTTTAATTACGTGCAATTATTAGTTAATATATAATCAACTACAATTAACATCCTCAGGAGCTAGCATAATGTAACTCTGCATGGGTTAGGAATTGCAATCCGTGTCCACGTGCTGTTAGTATAAGTTTGTTTTCCGTATTTGCTTGCAGGGTTACGTTAGGCTATCCTAGTAAAAGCCGTGCATTTCGTTCAGGTCACATCATGACACTAATCGACCAGGGGCGTAGCGAGGATTTTCAAAGTTGTAGGCACGACTATCTGAGCGGAGCGCCACCATCGGTTGGCGCGGAGCGTACAAGACAATTTTTGGTTTTACAAACCCCCCAGATGGCCGGAAACGGCCCTTCCCGAGTGTTCATTCTGGTTCCCTGGCCTCTTGCTAACTTGAGACACCTCATTCAATATCACTTTTAAACCCAAAAAACACAAACGAGTTAAAATAGTGTTACGAACGAGTTAAAATGTTAAAAAACTGACAAGATCGGATCCTAGTCTTTTTCGGCGGGTAGAGTGTTGAATGAAACGGCACGCGATAGAAATGACAGCCTAGATGACAGAAGAGTAGGTCACCTAATTTAGCCATATTCTTGCTACGTTCATTTCAATAGTTTTTCCTGCCTAGACTCTTAAACTCGTCCAGCAAGCTTATGGATTTAAATTATGGGTGTTTTAAAAAAAAGATAACTTGGCCAAAAAAAGTGTAGGCCCGGGCCTACAGTGCTACATACTGGCTACGCCCCTGTCGACTCTACACAACACAACAGAACAACGCACGACATTACACGACACAACAAAACGCAACACAGCGCAACACACACACCCGAGTTGTTTGCTACACGAGTAAAGAATTCGCCGTAACGTCTCGCTCGCATTATTAGAACATATTTTATTATGAAATACAACACGCCTCTCATGTCAATTTCCTTTCTTCCTTCCACGTCGACCTTGCACTGATATGTACAGACGTACTACAGCCGGTAAGCACACGCACGACAGATATACTACACCGAAGTAAAGGCAGGGACAGTCAGTCTGCCATCATATACATGTACATATACATGTAAGTGAGCGAGACAACCGCCGTGGTATCGGCTATAGCTGACATCATTTTCGCCCCGTTACAGACGGGTCATAGTGACCACGAATTCACAATCGAAAACTTTTTAGCAAATTTTTTGAAAGAAAAAAAACTGACCGACAGCGGTCGTTTGAATATGGAGGGATACGAAACATGACGAACTGACGCGTTTAACAATAGCATCTGACGCGAGAACGCAAAGTGTAGTAATTTTTGTGGGTTTTCGTATATCCAAAAGTTATGAGGAGAAACTGTATGGTGGGTGATACACGTTATATCAGGAGTTAATAAAGACAAATTAAGACAGGTTAAATTTTTTATCTTTATTAACTCCTGGTTATATGGACTTACAAAAATGTGTAATCTCAAGATATGGAGGTCGGGTGGGTGCCTATACCCAGTCTATATCTGCACATAATAATAATACTCTGCTTTATTAATAAAAAAAACGTTTTTACTGTTAAGTACATTATAATAGAAACAGAACTACTACTGATAGAAACAGACATTTCGGTTTTGAGCTTAAAACTTTAGGCAAGCTAAGAATCGACCGAGCGCGAATTTTATCGAAATCACACGATTCCCTCGTAAGTTCACGATTTGATAAGATTTCAACATCGCCGCGCGATGGCAACCTAAAATAGTAAGACATTCTATACACGATAAACAATTTCATGCTCAACCTGCCGCCAAAAGAACGAAAAACTTTAAAATCAAAAATGACGACTAATAACTCGTCGCTGCATCTGTTATAGTTGCCTAGCAACCGCGAGAAGCTGCTCCGACAACGCGCAATCACAAAGCGGCCCTGTCTCGCCTTCCCACCACCGCTCTAAACAATTATCTTACAAAATAATACAAGGAGGTCTCTCTCTCATCTCTCTCCACAAAAATTTACAAATAACTTATTAAAGCCCGTATTCTCTCTCTCTCTCTCTCTCTGTTATATCAGCTAAAACGTATATAAACAACTCTGTAACAAACTAACGTGAAAAACGAACAAACCTGCGCGCCACACCCGCCGCCTGCGATCCTAAAACCGCAGGATCGGCAGAATTGCAACGAGTAAGAATCCATGTGTCTTGCACATTCCCCGACCTCCCCCCCCCCTCATCCCCAACCTCGCTCACTCCCTCTCCACTCTCCGTCTTCTCCTCTCTCTCTCTCTCTCGCTGTGCGCAAGGAGACGGTGGAACGCACGTGCAAGAACTCACGTAGAGCGCGTCGCTCCGCGAGAATGCGCACGAACGCCGAGAGACTTCCGTAGGTTTTCTGCGCCCTGACGGAACGCACCACGCGTGTTTCGTGTGCCGGCCAGACCAGATTTTTATCGCACACCGAGTAGATCTAAAATACAGACACGTTACAACTAGAACACCTACGCGTTGGCTCCATCAGCCCCGCGCGGTCGCCACGGTAACGTTTCCCCGCGTGGGACCGATCGGAGCGACTCGCGATCGCTACGCGTTTAGAAAAAAACGACGTCGACACGGGCGCGTCGCTACGTTTTGGCAACATTCAAGTGAGTGATATTTTTATATAAGGTTAGATTAATAGCGAGCGGGCGCGCGGGGGGTGGTGGCCGAACATGTAACAGCGAGCTTGGAAGACACGGCCGGCGGATCTCGCGCCGGCACTCCCCCCTCCATGCGTTCCTTCACGAAGAAGACGAGGTCTCCTCTTCTGCGTCGCGCTCGATAAGCTGCCGAGAGGAGTCTGGAAGCGCGGTCGCGCCACGGGCGGCGCCCCCTAGCGGCGGGCGGCGGTGGCGGCTCACGACACGAGGCAGTTCTTGCTGCCGCGCTTGCGGTGGTGCGCGTCGCCGTACGCCGCCATGTTGGGCAGCGTGCTGCCGCGCGGAAAACCGTTGCCTACGCCGCCGCCGCCGCCATTCACGTACGAGATGCGCACGCCGCGTTGCCGCGGAAACAGGTCGAACGCCGCCCACGCGTCGTCGTCATCGTCGTCCGACGAACTCGAACAAGTGCTGCATGCGCTGCAGCCGTCGTCGTCGCCGCCGCCGCAGCCGCCAGGTGGCGCCGGCTCGTCCGGCGACGCCATCGACGTCGCCTTCTNATTGCACATAGCATCGAAACGAAAACACAGTGCGTTCCACAGTCTGTTGGCTACAGCACACTAGAGTGGAACTCTCCCACCCTATTACTATATGTGTCACGATTCTTCTCATAATTAATAAAACTACAGATTTAAGTTTTCCTTCCCTCCTCGCGTACACCTACGCATAGCCGTATAGTTAACTTGCATTACGTTTACAATAGTCTACAATCCTACATATTCGCATAACACGTACGATTTTACCGATTCAAGTATAGCTTATGTACATGTCATACCACGTACACCACTAGCTACAGCATACATGCAGCATACATACATACACATGACTGGCTACATAGCGTACACATACCACGTACACTAGTAGTAGTAAGTGTGGTGAGTAACTACTACTACCAGGGCGTAGCCAGGATTTTAAAGTTGTAGGCACGACTATTCTGAGCGGAGCGCCACCACAGTTGGCGCGGAGCGGACAAGAAAATTTTTGGAGTTTTACAAACCCCCCCAGATGCCGAAAACGGCCCTTCCGCGAGTGTTCATTCTGGTCGCTGGCCTCTTGCTAACCTTGAGACACCTCATTCAATATCACTTTTAAACCCAAAAAACCAACGAGTTAAAGATGGTTACGAACGAGTTAAAATGTTAAAAACTGACACAGATCCAGATCCTAGTCTTTTTTCGGCGAGGGCAGAGTGGTTGAATGAACGGCACGCGATAGAAATGACAGCTCTAGATGACAGAAGAATAGGTCAGCTAATTATGGCCATATTCTTGCCCGTTCATTTCAATGTTTTTCTGCTGTCTAGACTCTTAAACTCGTCCAGCAAGCTTATGGTTTGAATTATGGGTGTTTAAAAAAAAAGGTAACTTGGCCAAAAAAAGTGTAGGCCCGGGCCTACAGTGCTACATACTGGCTACGCCCCTGACTACTAGTACCGTACGCGCACTACGAAGCACTACAAATTACAGTACGCGCACGGTCAAGTATAACATCGGACGCATTCTAGAAACACAACTGCCGCCATCACTATCAGGCGTATCTCTTCGCGCCGTTTTCTTCCTTTGTTCTCCCCTTTCTGGAATCGTCCTCGCGGCTAGCGCCATCTCCCGTGAAATAAACTGCACATCGATGCACGATTCTAAAAGCGAATCTGCTACATTATGAAGGCCGTCCTGGAACGTTTGATGATCGTCACCATACATGCCGTGTACCATACACGGCATACACACATAATATATGTGCTGATTACTCGTCTCACTACTAGCCTGACGTAGGATGCTTTATCACGGAGCAGTATATACGTATAGCATATTAGAGCATATATGTAAATGTGTATAGTCACAGACTGACAGTGATTATAACAGTATGGTTATAATTGTGATTATTATTATTACAATGAAAGCATAACGTCTATATAGAACTGACACAAGCACACGCATAATATAAAAAATAATAATAATTGATTTATAACTGTGCCACATTGCCTACATACAAATACGTTTACATAGCAAGCACGCGCATGGTTTATGTGAATCATTGCATTGCTCTTTGATTGAATTTGATAAGTTGAATCGATGAAATTATCACGCTTACGTTGCAAACGATCTATGTACATGAATAGAATACGCGCCTATAGATAAGTAACGCCAAAACCACACACACACACACACACACACACAGCACACACACACACACACCCAACACACACACCACACACACACACACACACACACACAGCGCACACACACACACGCGCGCGCGCGCGCACAAAAACCTACCCATTTTAATCGCGATTAAAAACCACTGTTCTGATGGCTGGAATTTAATCGCGCTTAAAAT